TGGAAAGGTCAAATTGTCCGCAATCCAATAAGCCAAACACCTTTAGCACTCCTTCAGAAAAAATCACCAGCCTAGATTTCAATCGCGTCAAGCACAATATCTCTCAACACACTCACCGCTTTTGTGTATGTGTTCCACCGAGTGATTCGAGTGGAGACCACCGGAAGGAGTTCACATAGGCTCGTAATGCACCTTACTCATCAAAACAACAGTCTTATATACTGACTCAAATCACGTGTGATAAGGGGGCATTCCACCTTGCGGTTTATGGCTGGATTGGTGGTATTAATCCAAAGTGCTTCAAGAAGTTTTCGCGCTGATATTTTTGTTCCTGCGCAAGGATGGTGACTTCGATCTCAAAATCAACTCCGTCGTGTTTCTGTTCTCTATGCGTCCCTAGCGGGGTGTTCCGTCTATTAAGACGCTTGTCAGCTAAGTGTTCTTCTACGCGGGCATAGAGAGGCCTACCCGTTTCGCCAATATATCTTATCGCTACACGCTTTGCAAGAGATTAGGTAGACTGTACCTACGCTCAATCACCGTCCGACATATTTTACAATCTTTATTTATACAGAGACGATCATATAAGCGGTTTTGAAGTAGTTGGCGTTTTAGAGTATTCGGTGGTATTTCAGTAAAAGCCATCGATTGCTCGAAACCCGCCCTTTTCAAACAGCGTTTTATAGCTGTACTAATCTCATTTGAAAAGAACGGGAGGATGAACGGGACTTTCCTTTTATTCGAGTTTTCGTTTGGAAGCGATACTCTTTCCTCTATACCTAAGCCAAGAGGCTACGAATTCGTAGCCATTAGAAGTGGCTATTTCCCGAGCCAGTTTCACGGATTTTACTCTCTGCTCCTCCCCAGTACATCATATATTGGCTGCTGTTTGAAACATGTTCTTTACTAGCGCTTTTTTCGTATGTGAGGGATGAGAAGAGAGATAATGAACCAGGATATTTTAAATACTTGGCTTTCGATACCACTTTGTTATGTTGCCGCTCTCGCTCAAGCTTATTTGCACGTTCAAAAAAGGGAGCCAATCATGTTTTGGTATCTCACGAGTGATTTTTATATACTTTGACTGTTCATTAAACAATCTGGAGCAATTATCTAGCTCCTCTTGAGTGGAGCAGATAACCAAACAATCATCTATATACTTACAGTTGAGTAATGGCCGGAGATCCATCACTGGTGCTTCCACTTTCGACATCAAGGCATTCGCCAGGCTAGGTGCCAGTTGCTGCCCATTGCCAGCCCTCTCATTTGGGCATAATATTTCCCGGACCATCTGAAGATTGAGCAGTTCAGACACTCTTTTAATAGGACTATGAACTGCTCAGTCGGCAAACCATACATGTTCACAGCTTCCTGGTGTTGTGTCAGAAGCTCTTTTTGATTTTTGATTTGCAAGATTAACTCCGTAAAAGGCCAGAGCTGAAAAGACTAATAGGAATGAACAGCAAGTAGAGGTTGCACCAATACCACCATTTCCTCAGCCGTTCTATAGACAACAAGACCCCAACGAGGAAGTTGATAGAAAATTCCACAAATTTGCGGACGAGATTTTAAAAACCCTCACTCACTATCGTACGAAAAGATTTCAATCGAACCTCACCGAGCTACAAAAGCGTGGCTTGAAAGAGGTTCGAAAGTTGATAAGGGAAGGAAAAATAAGGTTAGTAGTTAGTGATAAGGCTGGAGAATTTGTTGTGATTGTAAGACACTTAGATATCGCAATAATGAATAAGCATCCCGAAGATGCTTCGCTTTACCGATCATCTTCTATAAAGGAATTCAAAAGTCAAAACCGCAAATCAAACAATGAGTGGGTCCGTACGGCAAAAGCGGCAGGCTTAAGACCATCTATCATTCCTCAATTCAAAATGCGGTCACCAACATGTCCTGTCTCATACTTACTTATGAAACACATAAGTTAGTATGCACTGATGATCTAATGCCTAACGATCCATCTACATTCAACGTTAGACCCATCATCAGCTGTGTAGGAGGACCGACGTATAGGATAGCATGGTTCTCAACGTTAATGACATCTCAGTTGCTAGAGCACATTCCAGCCCATCTGACGAACACTCAGATGTTAGTGGATCGACCACGTAACGCGAACCCGAACAGCGCGTACGTAATGGAGTCATTCGACGTCACTGCTCTATACACCAACGTGTCGATTGACTCCGCATTGCAAGCCATTAGCTTCTGACACAACACCAGGGAGTGTAAACATGTATGGTTTGTCGACTGAGCAGTTCATGGTCCTATTAAAAGAGTGTCTGAACTGCTCAATCTTCAGATGGTCCGGGAATTATTTCGCACAAATCAGAGGGCTGGCAATGGGGCAGCGACTGGCACCTAGCCCTAGCGAGACAGCCTTTGTGTCGAAAGTGGAAGCACCAGTGATGGATCTCCGGCCATTACTCTACTGTAGGTATATAGATGATTGTTTGGTTACCTTCTGCACTTAAGAGAAGCTAGATAATTACTTTAGATTGTTTAATGAACGGTCAGAGTATTTAAATTCGCCTGTGAGATACCAAAACATGATTGGCTCCCTTTCTTGAACGTGCAAATAAGTTTAAGCGAGAGCGGCTACATAACAAAGTGGTACCGAAAGCCAAGTAATAAGAATATCTTGGTTCACTATCTCTCTTCTCATTCCTCACATACGAAAAAGGCGCTAGTAAAGACATGTTTCGAGCAGCAGCCAGTACATGTAATGTGGAGGAGCAGAGAGTAGAATTCGTGAAACTGGCTCGGGAATTAGCCACTTCTAATGGCTACGAATTTGCAGCCTCTTAGCTTAGGTTTAGAGGAAAGAGTACACCTCCGAACGAAAAGTCGAATAAAAGGAAAGTCCCGTTCATCCTCTCGTTCTTTTCAAATGAGATTAGTACAGCTATAAAACGCTGTTTGAAAAGGGCGGGTTTCGAGCAATCGATGGCTTTTACTGAAATACCACCGAATACTCTAAAACGCCAACTACTTCAAAACCGCTTATATGATCGCCTCTGTATAAATAAAGATTGTAAAATATGTCGACGGTGATTGAGCGTAGGTACAGTCTACCTAATCTCTTGCAAAGCGTGTAGCGATAGATATATTGGCGAAACGGGTAGGCCTCTCTATGCCCGCGTAGAAGAACACTTAGCTGACAAGCGTCTTAATAGACGGAACACCCCGCTAGGGACGCATAGAGAACAGAAACACGACGGAGTTGATTTTGAGATCGAAGTCACCATCCTTGCGCAGGGACAAAAATATCAGCGCGAAAACTTCTTGAAGCACTTTGGATTAATACCACCGATCCAACCATAAACCGCAAGGTGGAATACCCCCTTATCACACGTGATTTGAGTCAGTATATAAGACTGTTGTTTTGATGAGTAAGGTGCATTACGAGCCTATGTGAACTCCTTCCGGTGGTCTCCACTCGAATCACTCGGTGGAACACATACACAAAAGCGCTGAGTGTGTTGAGAAATGATTTTGTGCTTGATGCGATTGAAATCTAGGGCTGGTGATTTTTTTCTAAAGGAGTATTGGAGGTGTTTGGCTTATTGGATTGCGGACAATTTGAAACTGCTGAAACGTCAGAAGAATATCAGGAATTGTAATGAAGCATGCCAAGGTTAATAGACAGTCGGTCTTGGGAATTGTTAGCTGCTGTGATTTTTATTTTGCAATGATCTCCATTATTTCCCCAAGAGCTTCAATTGTGGATTTATTTGACGAATTTGTATAAAGAGTCAGGCCGATGGTCACGCCTAAAGACTGAATGTTACACGTACCGAATGTTGTTAAACGCGGTACATAGACGGTTCAGGAACATTTCCGTGTATTTCAAGATAGGCTAAAGTACGTTCTGAAAACTGGGTGACTATTTTGATATAATACTATGCTCTTCCATCGGTGAGGCCGTTTACACAGGTGGTTATCGATATAACTCCGAACTTGGAACTTTGGTAGAAGTAAGACAATCAGTGATGTTAAATTGCGTGTTTTGATATATAGTCAAAAAGCGAATTCGCTAGTACTGGGTTGGCAAGAAATTTTGTGAACTTTTTCGTTTTTGCTGGTTACTTTGCGTGCTCTTGTTTTTGCTTTTGTTTTTGCCATCGCTTGAAGCAGCTTGTGATTGTTTTGATATATAGTACCTATTCATTTGTCTCAAGATGGAATTGTTACGAAGGCAAAAAGGATTGTTGATGCTACCCGAATATCGTTTGAGTTCGAGTTTTTCTTCGTCACACAACGATATTCGTGTGACATCAACAATGGTTTTTGCTCTCGGGACAATTCTGTGGCAAAATAAATGTATAAGTGTCACTTACCAAAATACTAGCACGAAACTGCTATAAGTGATAGCAAGAATAGGAACTTAAATACATGAGAAATAACTAGCAAAAACGAAGAAGTTCAAAAAATGTCTTTCCAACCTTATAGTTCAGTGCGTTTAATAATTCTTCTTATTATCTGCTTCGTGACTCGCTAAGGAAACAGTGGAATGATTAGATGATACAGACGATAAAAAATGAGAGATCTGGAGAAGTTAAAGCCATTTAGTTTTTCATGAAGTCGTAAAGGTTTTCATTTAGTTTTCAATAAAGAGAATTGAGTGGTGAGCAAAAATACGACCTCAGACGGGATCGAACCCGCGTTTCATCCACACCCGGGACGCGTGCTACCAACTACACCACAGCAGGTACATTGTTTTTACTTATATTGCATACAGTGAAGTTTTTGGAGGAAGCTTAGCACAAAGTCGCCACACCTCTGAATCGACGCCACACTGTACTATCTATCACATATTCAAATTACTACTTTGAATCTTCCAATGCATACGAAGTCACAAGGAAACGTGTATCACTGAGAGACTACAGCTATTACACGTAACTTCTGGGATGGCTTAATTGATAGACATGTCCAGTTTCAAATCTACCGGAATTTTGAGAGTCTTCACAAAAATATGTTCTGAGAGCAAAAAAAAGTGCCCGTACACGACACTGTTTAAGCAAAGCAGCATTTCTGATGCAACAGTGCCAGAAACAGTACATGCAAACACTTTCTGATCCTGAATGCAAAAATGATGAATTTCGATCAGACATACTAACAAATTTGTGCGATGCAGCCCACGTATAAAATAGGTGGTGACGCGTTTCGCGCTCTGATCCGTAACATTGCGGTTTAATCCGAGCTATGTATTATCGTTTTATTTTCAACCATTCTCGGACAAAATGCTTTCAACAATGAATACTTATCTGAGAGTGCTGATTATAAATACGCTGATGATAAATATCAACAAAACATATATAAGCATTAGCACCTTCATAATTTCATTTCATTCGCCGCTTTTAGAGGTTTCCACACTCACTCGTACTCACCATGCTACACTAGTCACCAGACTAAGTACCACACGATTAAAGGTGACTATAGCCCCTGAATCTAACATTCGGAAGCAGCACAGGTTATTTTTTCATAATGAATTTTTTTCCCTCACGATGTTATGGCAAGATTTTGTGCTAAACTTACACTAATTAGTTTTAGGACTCTGAGATCACCGCTCCGAGTACTCTTGATTCTTCCTTTATTGGAGAAGCACATCGTAGTGAACTTGCCATCCTTAGTGATTGAAGAGTGAGACGATTCGTGAATTATACTATCTTCCCAACAACTGCCCATCATTTTGTTTTAGTAAACACAATGCCATAGAGAAGGGCTAATTTCTAATGTTGTTCATTTGAATCATCTCAAAGCTGTTTTCTGTCATTGATTTCTAAACATTCCCAGTCATTGTTATACGTAGAAATTCATTGAGGTAAAACCAGGTGAACTGCTATTAATATGAGCACGATGAACAAAAAAATCTTCCACCAGACAATGTCAAAAGTAAATTACAAAGTGCAAAATACATATGGGTTTATATCGACCTACAATCAAATACTTTTATTCCCCAAAATATCATGTGAAATCCTGCTTTGAGCTCTTCTTATAATATCTTTCGAGTTTTTACTAAAGGATATTTGTAGGCAAGATTTTCATTGGCTGATTCAGAATCCTGTCATGGAGGAGAATACTTGTGTCGATTCTGGAATAAAAGGCACGCCAATAAATCAGAAGATACTAAGCAACCGAGAGCGCCACCTCGTCCGACCAATAAAAGTAGGAGGAAACGTAAGGTTTGTTCGAAGCAATGATATCATCAAGAACGTTTGTGTATACACTGCCATTACAATTTTATCGTTAACAGGGCCGGCGACGAAAGCGCTAGTCTTCGATGAACAGTGACATCGCGCTCGTCACTATCAGAACGGTAAGCTTTATTATTCATGTACAACCTCTTTAGGAGAATCTATTGATGTAGTTAATAGATGATGGTGATCATTCTCCACTGATGCATTCTTAATAGTTCAATTTATTTCATTCAGCTTTCTCCTATTCGATCGGCTTGGTAAGATGTGACAGCTGGCGAGAAACCAGTTATCTTGCTGACCAACTACACTGATAAGCAAAGCGTTCAGAGGAAATAAAATGTGCTAAAATACTAACATTCTTCATTATTGTGGATAAAGAATTGAATATCTCGAATATTAACTTATTAGATTTTACTGTGCAGATCTATAGAGATCTGATTCCCCATCCATTAATCGTCTTTAGTATCGGCATTTCGTGAAGTTGGCTCCACAAGCTGATGAAATTACGATATGTAACATAACCATAGGTGTGCCGCAGTAGTAACAAAATGAAAAATCTGATGCCTGTGCAACGAACTAACTGATTACTGACAGTGACTGATTACGATTGAGAACGGCTGAGATAAAGACAGAATGAGAGCTTCGATGATGTGGTGCGATGCCTCGAAAATGTATACGGGTGTAATGAACACTGATGGATTAATACACACTGTGTTTTAGAAATTTCCCATTTGAATTCTGTTTTTTTTCCATAGGAAGTGATGAATCTGAAATGGACTGAATAGATAGGAATAAAATTCCACTACAATAATTGAAGCACACTGTGAGAAATCCAAAAAAAGTCATGCTGTTATAAATGTTATGAATGTCTTCCACCTATATTCGTATTGAATATATTGAATCGTAAAGAGTATGTGTCCGCAGCCGATTATCCATATTGTAGTCCACCGCCGAAGATATATATGAGGCAATCCACACTCATTCAGGTTCCAAAACAAATACAGCTCATGTTTTTGTAGGGATTTTTTACTGTAATGAATTTATTTAAGATCTGTGCTAAACAGTAATCAATCAGTCTCAGAATCTCACTGACTTTATAACCTATTCGAGTGCAAAATTCACACATTAGTGTACTTGTGCTAAAAAAAAACCATACAACAATGAGCCTTCAATTTTATCTGTACAACATAGACTCAGATCTGAGTAACAGCCATTATTACGTTGATTTTATAAGCTCGTCTTCAATGCTTCGATAACTACAATACACGAATGCTTTGACTCCGAAGATTAATGATTGCATTAAATTTATCTCTTCGACAATTTCTACGCTTTCACATTATTCGCAACAGACACACACCTGACATTAAAAAATCAAAACAGCAATTGAAGAGGGCCAAAAGAAGGACACTTCAAGAGAATGCCAAACAAAGAAGAACTACTTGATTATCAGTACTTTAAAACGATTCATTCATAGCATCAGACGCTTAATATACTTATAGGTTATAGATGAGCTCTTTCTCGTTTTCAAAATATATAGAGAACATTTATTTTCACTTCAATTGGTCCTTAACAAAAAGCAAATTAATAGTCGAAGTTGTCGTTCCACATCAGGACAATTCAGCAACATATCCGGCTGCATTAGAATCAAACTCGTCAGCCAACATCCGCCAACTCATCGATGGGCCTTCTTCAGTTCGATTGACGTCTGCTTGGCCATTGAATTCGCGTGGATCCCCCTTTTTTGGGAAGTCGGTCAAGCGGTCTCCTTCTTCGCGGGATGTCTTGAAGCAACGCTGGGCTGTACGAACATCGCAAATTTCGTCACCATACGCCTTGCGGATTCATCGATGGGCCTCAGAAGCGCCGCCATCCAATTTGAAGTGGAATTGGAGCAGCAAGCGAATTTCTTTCTTGAGACAGTTTTATCAAGGCTCTATGAACAAGCGATATATCATTCGATGTACAAGAGAGCGACCTATCTGATAAGGAATGTTGTCCTATCGGTTGTCCACATGAGGACGGACTCAGTAACACCAAAAATCATGCCAAAAGTACCAACAAGCGATTACGGTAGAAAAGAGGAGAGAAGGGCTTTGAATATCAATAGAAACGCACTGCAATGAAATGGCAGCGAATTCAACGATGATCCTTTGAATTGACTACTTTATCAAGCCACTGAGGATTAAGTAGTGTAATCTCATTTATCACGCCGACGCTACAGTCAAGCTAGTTTCCAATTCAGCTCCGCACTAGCATGTAAAAAGGTTTTCCTTTACACCGTTTTGTCTACTGTTGATGGGAAACTGACGAAGAATAGAGCAGTACCATCAAGTACGCATAAGTATTCAACGATGTTTGTAGGATGGAACTATACGTGATCAAATACTTCCACGCACTGCACTATTTTTGTTGGTGTACCAAAACAATTACCTTTTGATTGACTTTCGCCGAGATAAAATCTTTGCAATAATTAACCAAAAACGTTCCTGTAGAGAGAGAGCTGTTTAGAGAGTTCAGTATGAATACCGTCGTGTTTTTCAGCACGTTTGCTAGCCATAACATAGAACGTCGGTAGATTGTGTTTTCAATCACCTGCATATGAGTCTGTTATGCAAACAATTTTCTCAGTGGGTACCAAGCTATTTACGTCGAATTGTATATAGATTATTCAAATTGGACTTAAAATCTTTGAAAACGATTTCATTTCAGGTCTTTTGAGATTTCCCTTACTAACACAGCACTATTACTTGTCTTCCCTTGTTATTCTTCGCTATTTACTGTTTTAGTGGGTGAGTAGATGATTTATCATACATGATTTCATAGACTGTTCTGTCAAAAAGAAAAGTCTAAGAACTCAATTTAAGCTAGATTTTTTGTCGTTGATAGTCACTTCAAACTACAGCTTAGCGTGCAGCTATCAGTGATAATAGGGACAATACTTTCAGCGAAAACCAACGAACTGATCTCAGATCTGGTCCTTGTGCAGTAGTGACAGTCATTTCTACCTTACCTGTCACTGAAACCGTGCCACCAGCACAGCAGGTAAAGCACCGCTGCTCAGGTAAATGATGAATTGTCGCCAAGTACTCAAGAATTGGCAATCAAACTTGATGCTTCTCATACATTTGTGCTAACTGATCTCCACCTTCTTAAGATTGTCCACAAGAAGGTGCGACAAGATCCACACAAACTCGCTGCACCACAATCAGCCAAGAGAATTGAAATTTGTCTCTAACTGCTCATCAGTCCACTGAATGACCGATTTATGAAGCGTATTGCGACTTCAGACGAGAAGTAGATGTACCTGGTCAACCACAATCAAGACAAGCAGTGGGCGCGCTCTATTGTCAGCAGTTAGGCCGGGTCTGCGAAAGCTTAAAGAGAAGTAGCCAGCTTTGGTCAACCGAAAGCGCACTTGATGCAGCAAGACAATGCTAGAGTGCACACTGCCAAAAAACCAAAGACAAGTTTGATCAGATTGGACGGAGTCAAGGTTCTGCCGCATCCCGACTA